CTGGACAACGAATGTTTTCTCATCGGAGAAAACCAAATTCGGCAGTTCACCACTTTCGGCCAAGCGAAGCATCTCTTTAGCTCTTTGGGGTCTATTTTCTTTCTGTAGCGGTGTAAGTTCTTGCACTTTTTGGAATTTTAATGGCCTTACCCTGAGCTCTTTTTTCAATATTTAACGAATGGAATATTGCGATATGTTCAGCTCACGAGCATTTTTCGGTCACAGCGAAGTGGTCACCAGTACACCGTTGTATGCAGGACTGTTGCTAAACTTGAAGCGATATAGCCCATTTCCAATACAGGAAGATTAAGAAGAACAATGTGTTCGGCAGAGATTTGCTCTCTCAGTAAAAATAAAAGGACTATTAAAATTACTCTCTCGATCTGTTATACATTGTTGGGTTACCAGACATACCTATTTTATGGGGTCTTCGACTGTCAATTGGAAATTAGCTTAGCCTCCATCTTATGGTGGAGAATATGGCAACTGAAATACCTGAAACCTTTAACCGAATAAGCGGTTTTCATTTTCTCATTCGATTTTCTCTATTATTCTATACTTTTACTGCGTGGGAGCAGTCGGCAGCTTTGTTGTGTCCTTCTCCATGGATAACAAGGTATGAAGGATACAATTAAAAACAAAAAACCCAAATGAATATAAATTCTGACCTCTTTTGCCAAATGAAGCTGTTGCCTTGGTGATCGAGATGTATGTGTGTATGTACGTTTGTTTGTTTGTAGCCTGTGCGTCTTCGTCCCACTCTCCACATTTGCCATGCAAAGTAATTTTATGCTCCCTATTTTGTTTTAATTAAATACCCATTTAAATAAATTGAAATTAAATTAGGATTAGGATTTACTGCAGAACAAAAACAACAAAGACAACAACACCGCGTTGCAGGTTGAGCAAATGTTGAGAGTGAGAGAAAAAAAAAAAGAATTAATTGAAATATTTCTTCTAGCTGTTGTTGTTATTGTTGCTCTGTTTCGAATTGTTGTGTGAACTCTTAATGTCACGTTTAACAAAGACTTTTTTGCTGCCTTGGGGCGGGAGTGTGGTATGATCAGTTGGGTAAACCGAAATATTTGTTGTTAATAAATATCCTCTTTTGTACGAGTCATTTAGGCCCTTGAGAGCTTCACTAATTTTGCCTTAACAAATTTTGACTAGCATTTTTTAGCCTCTATCCCATTTCTGCCGTGCCAAGTTTTCTGTTTTGTTCCCTTTTCTCTTGGTTTTGTCATGGTTGGTTGGCTGCCCCAGCTGTCATTCAATATTTTGACACTTTTTTTCTCTTAAGTGTCAGCCGACATTCACCGCATACGTACACACACACACACGCTCACACATACGTACATATGTACTTTTGTCGAAGAATAATGCCGAAATCAAATCAGCTAAAGCAATAGCAGCAGCAGCAGCAGCACAAGGGGAACCTAGGCCGTAGAAACACGTGCTTCGATACGCAAAAAATTATTTTTAATTTGTTGCAACATTGTTGCACAAATTGTTTGCGTTCTACAAAAGCAGGCGACAGTTTTTGTTCTTTGTTTTCTGTTTGAACGGGGGCTAAGCACAATGCCCAAGTGTCGGAGATGATCTCTCTGCCAAGAAGAAGACGAAGAAGAAGGAGGCGGCGGTGCAAGTAATTTAATAGGTTGCGATAAGTAGAGGAAGAAGAACAACTGCCAAACAGCACACATACGCTCCGAATGAATCATTTTGTTGGGCGTTTCATTCCTGCTGTTGTTGTTGTTGTTATTACTGTTTTAGTTTCAAAAGTACGTTCATCGACACATGCTGGGGAAACATTAGATTGTTGGGCATTTCAAACTTTTGTGCGTTGTAAAAACACAAAAACTGGCAAATTGAGGCATTTTAAAAGTTCTCTGGCTCAACAGCAACCACAACTTCTTTGCAATAAGCATTTTGAGGCTTAGAGCTATTTTAATTGAGAAGACGTGGATTTCCTCCTTTGGAAATCTATGTATCTGGAAAAAAAAGTAATCAGAACACTAGGTCATCTCCTTCGTAGCTCTTAGATGGAATCATAAAGAAGTGACTATTACACCAACGCAAAATTATAAATTCGCATTTTCACAGCTTCCTGCTTTCGCCAATGTTATCCCACAAACCGCCAGCGAGCTTAGCAAAATAATCAGCAGGTTAACAAGGTCCACACTCACTCGTACACCCACAGCTCACGCACAATCCCAATCATAATCTCGCCCATAAAGCTCTACGATTTACAGCCAACATCTCATTTTCTTTGCAATGGGACTACAAAGCCCACGTTATGTCCTGCCACCTACTACTCTACTCCCAGTTGGCCAGCATATTGGCATTCCGGGAAATATTTGCATTTTCAACAAATAATTCCGTTGGTATTGCTTCTTAGATGTTGGCATCTGAATGCTGATTAATGTTTTGAGGTTATGAAAAAAAGCTCACTTTTATGGCCGTTGAAGGAACAACAACATTTAGGGGCTTGGTGTGGGGTTCGGTTGGGAAATTTAATAGATATTAATAAAACGAGATTTCAGAATGATTCTAGAATCCAATGGAAGTCTCAGTTGAAAATTATAAATTTGGAAATGAATTTTTTCTCTCATGTTTATGGCGTTTCCTCCAATTAAAGCAAGAAGGACGATTGGGAAATAGCACTATTGCTATTTTGACCTATCTATAGAGCAAAACCGGAGGAATTCGACTTTAGTGCCTACAAGAAGTTGTACGAATGCTTTTTATACTCTCCACCATACAAAGTATGGAGGGTATATTAAGTTCGTCATTGTGTCTTTATACCCTGGAAGAGTACTGTCAGTATCGGTTCTCCTCCCTCCCTTTATTCGTTATTTTAATGATTTTAGCAACATTTTTCAATGGAATTGTCTAAAAATCCATAGTAGAAGTTCTTTCTAAGCACTTTACCCCCTGGAAAAGAATTGTCTGTATAGGTCCATGATATCGTATGTATGCTATCGTATCGTATAGCCCACATACATCGGTATCCCCTGATATTTGCTATTTTTACGATTTTAGGGACGTTATTCACCGGAGCTGTTTCAAATTTCGTATTTACAATTCCTAATAGGTACATCAGCTTATGACATTGTGTATGTAGGTCCACGTCTTCGTATAGCCTTCATATAACGGCACCTCCCAATATTCGCTATTTCGATGATTTTAGCGACATTATTCACTGGAGTTGTTTCAAATTTCATATTTAGAGTTCGTAATGGGAACTACAGTCTATGGCAGAAAATTGCCTATGCAAGTCCAGGTCTTCGTATAGGCCCCATATATCAGTACCTCCCCATATTAGGTATTTTGACGATTTTAGGTACAATATTCACCGAAATGGTTTGAAATTTGGTATTTGAAGTTCCTAATAGGTACCACAGCCTGTGACAGTTTACAATGTTTATGCAGGTCCAGGTCTTCATATAGCCCCGATATAGCGGCACCTCCTAATATTTGGTGTTTTAATGATTTTAGCTACATCATTCACACGATTTTTTTTCAAGTTTTATAATTGAATATAGTAATGGCCTTTGACCGGTCCAGATCTTCGTATAGACTCTAATATAACGGATATATTCGTTATTTTTAAGATTTTAACAGAATTTTTAACGGATTTTTTTTAAATTTCCAAAATTCGTTCCAAATGGTGGATGGTATTTAAAGTTCGGCCCAGCCGAATTTACTGTCTTTTTACTTGTTTAAACTGTTTATGATCTCTTGGTGCCAGCTTGGTAAGTACTTACTTCCTATGACATATCCATAGTAGAATAAGGGGAAATGATTCTCTTTCGCAACTAGCTGAACTTAATTGACGCTCATATCGGCAATGGGATTTTTTGCTGGGTTAGCAGACAATCCGATTGGACTATTTTTATACTGAATTATTTGCGGGAAAAAAAAAAAAGAACTCAAAATACCTAAAAATCAGTTTTTAAATATGGCTAAAACCTAAGAACTACTTTAAGTCGATATTTATTTACCCTTCCATTAGAGCGATATGACAAATTTCTTGATAAAAAGTCTGGTATTGAGTAAAATATTAAGGCTTTTCTTCTTTGTTCAGATTGAATATATGTATATATAAAGGTCCACAAAAATTGGTCAGAGGACTTAAAACTCTCGTTGACATCTGACCCTGGCATTTACGGCTAAGGGCTTTTATAATTTAATTTGTTATGACAAGCCATGTTTTTCGACCAAATTGCCAACCAAGATTAAGGCCTTTGTTATTTCAAAGGCCTTATAGGTACGAAATGGATATTACAGCCATTTTTGTAGGGTAAGCTGCTGCTCCCTGAAAATACAAAATGGTCTCTTAAGGGCTCATACACCAACATTACAAGTCGCTTCGAATGTAATAACATCAAGGAGGATAATGTTCAGGAGCACACACATTACTAGGATAAACCCCTTTTGTTTTCAGTTTCAAACACCATTTCACTTGCCAACCGATTTTCAATTTTGTTGTTTATTTCTATCCCGGTAACCAGGAGGGTTTCCCTCCTCTTCAACATTGGATTTTCTTAGCTAACGGCAAGCAGCAAGGAGAAAATGAATTTCAAAAGTAGATTGTGTTTTTCGATTATTTTTTGCCATTAAGATTTAATTTTGAAACGGAAATTAAATGGTAACATTTTCCCTTTGCCGTAACTGATTAAATGAGGACGAGAAAGGAGAAACAAAACAGCATGTGCCCTCGCCCCTCAACCAACCATTTATCTCCTTATTTTCAAAGACACTTAGAACAAGGGGACTTATACGTTCCTAGGAGGTATGACCCTCAATGAGAAGAAACAAACAAGTCCTTAAAATGTATTTTATTTTTAGTCAACCCGACTATTTAGCTCTGCTTGGCATTCTAACAAAATTGCAGGACATTCATGGCAAACTAACCCTCCCCCTAGGCAATGACATTGTATGATCAGAGTTATTACTTGTTCCCCCTTTTCCCTTCTCTGTCATAATTTCAGTTTACCCACAAAGAGGAAAACAGAGAACATTGACTCGGCCTGTTGACCGGCGCGTCCTTCTCCAATGGCATAGGCATGTCCGCTGTGGAACATTTTCAATTCTCTCTGTCTGTTTGTTTGTTGCAACAGGACGGAACAACTTTAATTATCTGCCAAAGTAAATAGAGTCGCTGCTGTTTTGTTTTTGTTGTTGTTGCAGGACAACAGAGTAAATAAAAACAACGGCGCTAACAAGCCTACTCTTCTTCAGCCGAAAATAACAGCCACAATTCCAGGAGCCCAGTTGGCCTGCCACTAGCTGTGAACTGCAAACTTAAGTCAACAATGAAACATGCATTGGCAGTGGTCAGGCACGAAGTTATTATTCGCCCCGAAGCGAGTCCACGGAAGAGATCAAATAATGCCATAAAATTCCATAGCCAACAAAAGGCCTTTGCAGTTGCACTTCTAAAGCAGAGATTACCGGTTGAATAGCCCAGGTCTGTCACAGCATTCAAGGGAAGCGTCGCAATGTTTGGCAGGCTAAAATTGGTTGGATTGTTGCTCTTAATGTGCCTGCTGCACTGGACCTGCAGCATTGTGAATCCTGACAAGGAGTCTGCCAGTATGGTCATCTATCTTCAGAAACCCAGTAGCCTTGGCCCTCGCACCTGGTTGGCCGGTGTCAACTGTTTGGATCAGATAACCCGTTTGTTCTTTCGCAAACAAGAAAGCTTGACGCGTTCACCGAACATGGTTATGACCGTCGCCAAGAACATGTCCACGCCCGCTGCCCAAATTCAAGAGGGGTTCCTGAAAATAATGATGGAGGCTGTCAGCGAACTGGACCCGGTCCACAAACGCTATCAAATGCGCATTGTGTCCGATGCTCAACCCTATCTGTGGTACAAAATGAACCAACCGGAATTGGTACTGGCCGACTATTACGTCATTGTGGTGGATTCGTTGATGCGCTTGGCCAATCTCCTGCAGAACTACGTTAGCCACATGCTGTCGTGGAATCCCGGAGCGCATTTCCTGATACTCTACAACAATGCCAAGAATCGTAACAATGCTGATACCACGGCTGAAACTGTTTTCCAGGTCATGCTGGACCAGTTCTATATCCATCGCGTGGGCCTTCTGTATGCCACCACGGACACGCGATATGTCTTCAAGGTCTTGGATAATTTCAATAGCTCTTCGTGTCGCAAACTCAAAGTCAAACACTTTGCCGAATGCCAAGAGGGTAGTGTGGTGACGAAAAACTTTGGAGCTCTGCAACGTAGTCTGGATCGGTTCCTGAGTAGCCTGACGCTGACCAATTGTACATTTTATATGTGTGCTTCCATTTCGGCTCCATTTGTGGAGGCAGATTGTGTTTTCGGTTTGGAGATGCGGATCATAGGATTTATAAAGAGTCGATTGAATTTCAATGTAAGTTATGTGGAAGTGTGGGGTGTTTGGCGATTTGAAAAGTGTGAGAAGGCATTTGCGGGAGGAGAGGAGATGGATAGTAAAGAGAATGGAGAGGAAGGTCAACGAAACCATGTAACATTTGGGAGGCATATAGGTAACAAGCAATTGTTCAGTGAATGGTTTTAGGGAAGCCAGAGAGAGAGAGAGAGATATTGAGAGAGAGAAGAGATTAACACACTAAGAACCCGAGAACTTTTGTTCATAAATCTGAAATTTGGGGGGATATTCTTAACGAGGGCTGCTTATATTTATTTTAACGTCAAAATCCGAGGACCAACATCGGTATCTGTGCAAAATGAACTTTGGAGACTTCTGTCGTTTTTTTAACGGTCGTATGATCATACTAACTGACAGATGGGCATAGTTGAATCAGTGTATATATATTTTAGGGACTTCCCGGTGATTGATTTAAACTCTCTTTACTCCTACAAGCGCCTATGACTTCCGCACTTGTCAAAACGACAGCCCAGAGCTTAGCATAGGATACCGATACAATATATCGCACAATATTTTATTTCCCCCTTTTCCAAGATCATCCAACAATGTGAACACGAAAGTCGTGGTGTCCAAGAGGAGGCCGGTAATTGGACCGGCCTCTTGGGCAGGTTGAATGAGAAGTCTTGCGATTTTATCATGGGCGGTTTCTATCCGGACAATGAAATCATCAGCAATTTTTGGGTTTCCGACACCTACTTGGAGGACTCCTACACCTGGTATGTCAAGCTAGCCGACCCACGGCCTGCCTGGATGGCTCTCTATTCCATATTTGAAAATCTCACTTGGCTTGCGTTCATCGTTATGCTGCTGATTACTTGGCTGACCTGGTTTGTGTTGGTGTACTTTTTACCCGAGCCACCGGAGACGAGGGAATGGTCCCTGACCGGCATCAACAGCATGGCAGTGTCGATTTGTGTGTCGGTCAACGAGCGGCCGTTGTGTATGGCTTCCAGATTTTTCTTCATTTCCTTGGCTTTGTACGGACTGAATGTTACCTCGACGTATACCTCAAAACTGATTTCGGTCTTCTCCAATCCGGGGTATTTGCATCAAATCGACACCCTCCCAGAGGTGGTGGAGGCTGGCATACCATTTGGTAGGTGAAATTCAAGATCAGTTTAAAAGTTAATCATTTCATTTGAATTCGCTTCAGGTGGCTATGAGGAGAGCCGCGATTGGTTCGACAACGACGAGGATTATTGGGTCTTCGATAAATACAATGACTCTTCTGATTTTGAACCTCATACGAGGAATCTTGTTTGGGTCGAGCGGGGGAAACGGGTGATATTAAGCCGCCGCATGTACATCATGCAAAGTGCCTTGGCCGACAACATTTATGCCTTTCCCGTTAATGTCTTCTCCAGTCCCATGCAGATGATTATGAAGCCCGGCTTCCCCTTTCTCTACGATTTCAATTTGATGATACGCTACATGCGAGATTTTGGGTTTTTGAATAAAATCCACCGAGACTTTGTCTACAACAATACCTACTTGAATCGAATTGCAAAAATGAGGCCAGATTTCAAAGGTAAGCGTTTGGTGGTACACAGTGTTACAGGATAATTGTAATTATCATTTTTTTCTCTTTTGCAGAGAAAGTCATTGTCTTAAGAATGGACCATTTGCAGGGAGCCTTCTCGATTTTGAGTGTCGGGGTATGTGTCAGTGTGGGATTATTTTTGGCAGAGTTATTGGTATTCCATGTCGGTGGACGATGCTCTTCCAAATCAGGCCACAAGAAACGGCAACGGAAGCGAGACAAAACAAGAAAACGAAAACGTAACAAATCATCAGAGGAAATCGTGATATATTGGAATGAAATCCATGTGCAAAAGGATATGGGTTCAACTCCGCTGAAGCGAAGGATTGTCCACAAATCGGCGGATGAATGAGGCGAAACTGTGATAACATCAGTTCTAGAATTGTGGGAGGGGATTATTGAAGTGAAATAAATCTTTGCTTACATTTGAGATATATCATTAATTATTGAGGGATGGACTCAGACTCAGTTATCTATTTTTTAAAAAACTTTACCCCGATCTATGTGGGATATTGAAAATAAAACAGTATTTGTGATTTAGCATGGAGGAAGAAATGTCTTCTGACACCGCCTCCAATTTCCACAACTGAACAACTGCGACTTTACAGCCCTGAATTCTATTGCATTTTGCCTGTTAATGAAGTGTCGCAAAATTACTTTGCCACAAATTCATTCATCCGTCGTCATGCAGGGGGACCAATACTTGTTTCCCATGTTAGAGCGAGGCACCACAACCCACCTCCTCGTCTCGCAACATGTATGAACGAGTGTTTATTTACATCGCCGGGAGGTGGCAGACTAGCGCGACCACTTTGGCTCATAAAACCCAAATCACTCACTGAATGTAAACAATTCCGAGAAACGTGATGTTTCATGGTGGCAGGGCAGTTCGCTCTTGCACCGAATCGCCGAAGAAAACACAAACAAGTAAGGAAAGGAGAAGAGTCATAAAATTGTGACACACCACCGGGGGGGACGACGATGTTTTGTTATTGGACATCATGTAATGCTGTTTCCTAGGAACAACATCTATTTTGTTGTAACGCGATGGGAAAGGAAGGCTACTCCGTCTGTCAAGTGTGAGAATCTTTGAAAGAAAAAGTGAGATCTCGTATTGAATCCACATTGCATGACCGTTTTCAGAGGCATTATTGAAGAACTCCCCACCCCTCCCCTCCGCTCCTCCTTCGTACTCTCCTCCAAAGGGGTCCTCCAATAATATTGCAAACTACTACAAAATTGTTTGGCTATGTAAACAAATCGTAAATTTCAATTTTACGACTTAATTCGGCATTTAGTGCGGGAGCAGCATCTAACAAACGATCACTCGCCTCCACAACACATAGTAAGTGGTTTTTACGCTGCGTATGTTTTTTATTTGCTCACTACTCGCAGCTACAGAAATCAAAACAACAATAAAAAAGGCATCGGTGTCGATGTTTTTGAAAACAACTGAATTGTGAATTCGGTTAATAATCGTACGAGGGTGGTTTCCGCGGGCGAAACAACTGAAGTTAGGATTTGGAAATTTTACATGTGGGTCAATATGGGTGTGTAGGTGAGAGATAAGGCTGGGTTTTGGGAAATTCGAAATATAAGTGTACTACAAAGACTAAAAGTTGCTAAAAATTGAATTCGTTGATGGAGTGTGGGATAGATATACCTGGTGGAAATGGAAGGTCTCAAATTTTAAGGTGGTTTTGGAAATACGTGCTAAAAAGAACTTATTGGTACTTTTGATATTTAGGGAAGAAATATAATTTGAAATCTAAAATTTCGTAATAGGATCACACTTTTGCGGTAAGGTTGATATTTGAAGGTGGATTCAAAATTACGCACTTCAAAAGTACTTAATGTTATCAAAAGTATTATTTGAATGGAGAGGCGCCGATAGGGTGTAGTGTAGATGTATCAAAGTGTTTTTGGAAATTCGAACTAAAAGTGTACAAAAGGCACTACATTTTGTACCATTTGATATTATGTGAGCGGATAGAGTAAAAATCTTGACATTTGCCATAAGATATATGTTTGGGAAGTAGGCGTGGTATGAGGAGGTGTTTTTCGTACTTAGTGTGAAAACTGTACTAAATTTGGTACAATTTGGTTTTGGGTGAACGATTGTAGCTGGAAATTGGAAATGTTTATATTGAAATCACTGCTGGTGTATTGGTTTAAATAAAGAAGTGGTTTCCTAATATATTCGGCATTTTGACGATGGAATTTCATATTTGAAGTTCATAATAGGTACTACAGCCTGTGACAGAAAATTGTCTATGCAGGTTCAGGTCTTCATATAGCCCCGATATAACGGTACCTCCCAATATTCGGTATTTTAATGATTTTAGCTAAATTATTAACCGGATTTTTTTAAGTTTCTTATTTGGATATTGTAGTGGCCAAAAGTTGCCTATGCAGGTCCACGTCTTCGTATAGACCCCAATATAACGGCTATATTGGGTATTTTTAAACTTTTAACAGAATTTTTAACGGATTTTATTTTTTTGAAATGTCCAAATTCATTCCAAATGGCGGACGGTATTCAGAGTTCGGTCCGTCCAAACCTACTGTTTTTTTTTTTTACTTTTTTTAATATCTTTATTGTTTTACACAATAAATTTGGATGCCTCACTAATATTTACATTGACGGGCCATTGGACAAGTCGACATGTCATGGTGTGACATTTGGTTGGATGTCTAGCATTGCAATACTACATTGCATGGCATGACATAAATAATCAAACATGGCGAAGCCAATAACTTTTTGCACTTTTTAGAATCCAGTTGAGGATCATCAATTCTCTTCATTCCACACCCACCTCTTCGAACGTATTTTTAAAGATCGCGACGTGTGGTTCCCCATGTTAAGTGTTGCTGTGCTGTAGTGGCGTTTATTCATGTTTTGTTTTGATTTCTTTTGCGTTGTTTACGTTTTCTGTGGTCTCAACGGACGAACGAACGAACCAACGACTGACATTCGTTCGTTCATTCATTCATTCATGTTTGCTCTCTTGTTACTACCACTGCAACACCTCCCACCACACCCCGCCCCCCACACACACACACAATATGCAGTGGCAACAACTGCAACTGGTGGCAATAACAATATTTTAATTACTTCGACCGCTTAATGTCTGTGTGTGTGCGTTTTCTTGACGGAATCTACTCCCGCATGTCCTCGTTTTCGAATGCAAATCTCGTAACAAAATACGGCAACGCTGTGGATTTCTGTTTCTGATGGTCACTGATGTCGTCGTTGGCTAAACAAACGGGCAAATCATCAGCAGAACGGCCATAAAAATCATTTTATGTTTAAAGTTCGTGTTGTTATTTGCAAAACAACAATGTGTTGTTGTTGTTGGTGGTGGCTTTGTGTGAAATATGTTCTGGTCCATCCAGGGCAATAATAAACAAAGGAAATTTGGCGGTTTCCACTTTAAGCGACGTAGTGTTTTATATTTTTGTTGTATTTTTGGGTCCTATGTAAACAAGGTTTTTGCAGGGAGTTCCTCTTTACCGCTCGCCTCATAAACTTGCGATTTGACTATTTATCGAATGTTATAAACAAATGCTAATTTCATATTTTAATGAGGTGATTTTTTGTAAATGCAAATATCAGAAGAAAAAAAAAACGTACGATTCGCGAAAAAACACTTGGCGCCAAGATGCTCTCTTTAGCCGGAATAATTTGTGTTCTTGCAATGTGATACGGATACGATAATGCAATACAAGACAATTGCGCATTTGTTGTTGTTATTGTTGCGCCCGTAATAATCAGGGTGTTCCTAGAAAATGTTGTGCTTGCAACAAAGCTGTAGAGCTTTTAATGGGTTTTGGGTGAAACAATTTTAAACAAAGTAAATCAAGAACAGTAGTGCTGAGGCGTTGCTTGGCAGTAAACCGTCAGTTTGGCGACAATGTATGATCCTTTGACAAAATTGAACCAGTAAGGGAAAGTCAAAAATCGAGCGGGGCCTCTCCCCTATACCACTAGGGGGGAGAGGGAGCTAATGTATGGAAGGCATATCCAATTCTGAATCGATTTTCACCAAATTTGATGGAGACCTTGTTATCTTATATAACTGTTAACATTGCTATAGAATGAATGATATCACTTCCAAAAAGGATTATAGTAAACAAGTAAAAAAGTAGCTAGGTTCGGCCGGGCCGAACTTTTTATACCCTCCACCATTTGGAAGAAACTTGAAAATTAAAAAAAAAAAAAAAAAATGTCGGAAATTACCGCTCGAATGGAGGCTATACGAAGACGTGGTCCTGTATAAGTAATTTGTGTCAAATGCTGTAGTCACGGTTCCGAACTTTATATACGAAATTTCAAATAATAATAATAATGAATAATGTCGCAAGAATCATGAAAATACCGGGCCGTTATCGGGCGCTATACAAAAACGTGGACCTATTGAGACAATTCTCTTCTAAGGGGTAATACTCAGAAGGAACCCCTTGTGTGGATTTTAAGACGATTCCATTAAAAAACTTGGCTCAAATCATAAAAATACCGAAAATCTGTGGGGGGGCATTATATGGGGACTATATGATACCTATAAAGACAAATCTCTTCTAGGGAATAAAGTACTCACAAGGAACTCCTTGTGTGGATTTCAGATAATTCGGTTGGAAAATGTGGCTAAAATCATCAAAATCATCATTGTTGTGGAGTGAATATTACGAATAAGAGGGACTTAAAAGCCAAATCGGATAAAACATATATATGGTAGCTATAGCTATATCTGATCCGATTTTCACCAAATTTGATGTAGTTTCTTCTAGACTGAATTCGCCCAGATGTGCCAAAATTCAGGTCATTTGATCTGATATTAGCCATCTGGTGCACAATTAAATTGAAATTTGCTAAAGATATATATGGGAGCTATATTCGAATCGGAACAGAACTTGATAAAAGTTGACAAAGGTATTTCTAGACTATATTTGATTTCTGGTACCAAATATCATTCTTGTGGATTGCATATGACGAATGTGAGGGACTTAAACACCACATCCGATGAAACATAAATATGAGAGCTATAGCTATATCTGAACCGATATTCACCAAATTTGATGTACTTACTTAAATTTGGTCGGATCTGCAAAATTCAGGTCATTTGGATTGATATTGTTCATTTGGTGCACAATGACTCGAAATATGTTGAAGATATATGTATCTGAATTTTTAACCAATTTCAATAGGGGTTGCCCTTGGGCCATACAAATATTGTTTGGAAACATTCTCTGGGCTAAATAGTTCACTCAGAGCGATTTAAAAGAGACCCTCTTCTACTAGTTTTAAAATAAACAAAATATCCCAATTGGGAAAACTTCTGAAAACTTAGCAATACTTTT